TATTGGGAGAGAATTAAGAGTACCGTATGATATAAAAAATGTTAGTACAGATATCTTTTGCGTTACAAAAAAAGATATTTTAACACAATTCTACAATGAATGGCATTCCCAAATTAAAGATAAAGATCCAAATTATTACAGATTGCAGTTTGATTTCCCCATAAAACCATGGTATGCAAAATGTGGGTATATGGGCAGAAACACTATAACAAATATTAATGGTTTACGTAGTAGACATTGCAAAACTCCTTGCTATCTCTACAAAATAGGTAAAACAGAAACACCGATATGTGAATGCGGAACCATTGGAACAGTTATCCATATCTTCTTTGAATGCCCCATAAATAAACACAAAAATATGGATCTGTATTTAGAACTAATAAAAGCAGGAATAGAGGGACCAATATCTTTACATAGTATTCTATATAAACCCTCTGACAAATTTATAAAAATAATTATTAAATTCATCAAATTTTTTCAAATCGATCCATAAAAAAATTTTTTTTACTTGTCAAATAACAAAATAAATGTAGAAAATTCTGGAAATATCCTAACATACAAAAATGTACGTCCTTAAAACCCTTAATCCTAACCGAAGGTAGCATTATCCATAAACCTAATGTGACAATGTTTATAAGCTACCCCCAAACGAGAAAAGTCTAATCTAACCTTAAATGAAGAAGATAAACAAATGGAAAAGCTGATCTTTCAGTACTACCCAGTTGTCAATTAGCAGTACACAGAAGTAGAATTTTATCCCTGGTTTTGCATTGCCTAGAGCAAGACAAGCAAAACTTCCTTACACGTACTGGGTAAATGATTATATAAACGAAACCCAAAAACAAATGAAGAAGAAGACGTAATATACTAGGTAAAATAGTTTAGTAAAATGGTAAATGCGCCGAACAAACAAAAAATATTCAATAAATGATAGGCAACTTTTTCAGCTTTCTTTATTTTTAATACATGTAGCACAGTAAGTTTTGTTTAATCTTTTTCTTCTTCTTCCTTCTTGTATGTAGGCTTTAAAGCCTGTTTCTTCTTCAATATTAGCCTGCTAAATTGTTTAAATTGTCGCACCATCTTTTTCTTGGTCTGCCAATACTTCTTCGTCCATTTGGTGACTTATCTCGTGCTATTTGTACTATTCTATTCTCTGCCATTCTTCTGATGTATTCGTTCCACTCCTGTTTTCGTTTTGTCATCCATCCATTTATATCTTGTATATTGCATGCATTTCTTATGTTTTCGGTTCCCTCCCTATCCAACAGATTTTTCTCTAATATTCGTCGGAGTATTTTCGTCTTTGTTGTTTTTAGTAGTCATTATTTTCGTCTTTGTTGTTTTTAGTAGTCATCTCGTTATAGATGTGTCGGATCTTGTCTCCGCCGGGTATGTTAATATAGGTCTAGTTGCTGCTTTACAGATTCTTGTTTTTGTGTTTTGTCTTAGGTGTTTGTTCTTCCAGATTGTGCCATTAAGAGATTCCGCCGCTTTACTTGCTTTTAAGCTTTGTTGTCGTACTTCTTCTTCAACATCTCCGTAACTAGTTATATCTATTCCCAGATATCTAAACCTTGCTTCCTGCTTTATTATTTTCCCATCAATTTCGATTTTACACCGTAGTGGGTATTTAGATGTTGTCATACATTTGGTTTTTTTCTGCTGATATTCTGAGTTTTGTTTAATGATCCCGATAATTCAGGATGAAACGAAAATATTGGTCTGGCTCACTTCGCATGTCAATTGATGCAGCAATTGACATTTGACAATTGATATTTGACTGAGCCAATTAATTTCATTTATTATAATTCGCCACATCGCTAACCCTTTTCGCTACACTTTCTTTTGCAATTGACACTGCTTCCAAAGTAATAAATAAATCTCAGTGTGTTCTGGACAGATGTCCGGATTTTTGTGTATTCGGTCACTCAGCCGCCGAATCGGCAAATAAATTTTGATCTCGTCGCCGGCTGAGTGCCCGAAAGGTCTGGCCACCGAGCTCACGCTTGTCGCACGTGACCTCGATGCTCAGGTTTCTCGACTGTAGGTCCTTTGACCTGCCTGAGGGGCCGTTTTGTCTAAGGAGCGATAGCTGAGGGGCGTCTTTCTGTTTGTACCTCAGAATTCACTTAATGTGGTTGCATCGTTGGCATAACTGCTGTAACAGAGGGTTTTTAATAGGTAACTGCTCTTAACAAAGAAAGTAGGATTGGAAGGAGTGTGCTCTCCTATGAGTATACGGCCATCAGACACCCCGTATAAAAATTGTTTGGCTTTTATCTTTATAACTGGTTAGTGAAACATAACTAAATAAAAGAAATAAGATAATATAGGGATTTTTTTTGTTACTGTGTACGTTAGACTATCGCATGGCTATCTCATTTTTTCTTAATCTTCTGGGTTACCTCTCTATCCTGCTAGCTGCTACCTAGGCCGTCTATATATCGTGCTTACGTTTTCGTCATAGTCTGTCAACTCTCTTAATAATCTGCTCGGGTGATTCCTGAGGTTGTTGAATATCTCGTGTGCTCTTTCGTCCATTGTTCTCAGGATTCTCTTTTGTTGTGAATCCCTAAAAACGTAACTTAATGAGACGTACCTAGGAATATTCAGAACCTCCCTGATCAAGAAGTTCTGAATGGTATGTATCCTTTTTCTGTTGGTTTTCCACGTATATCCCAATGCTGCTGAGGCGTGTGTTAGTATTGGCAAAATTTTGCCGTTTACCATCCTAATCTTTGTTTTAAAATTTAGATTACTTTTTCGACCTATTAATGATGATATTTTACTCCTGAGTGCTTCAGCTTTGTTGACCGTTTGTTTTACGCGTTGTGTGAAGGTCAGCTTTTTATCCAACGTTATGCCTAGATATTTTGCTTGGTTTGACCATTCGATTGGGATATCGAATAGGGATAGTACTCCATTTGGTCTGCCTTTTCTGTTTTTGGTACATGACGGCCTGTGTTTCGTCAGGGTTGACGGCTATTTTCCACTGCACATACCATGCCTCAAGTTCGTTAAGTGCTCTTTGTAGGTGTCTTGAGGCTAGATCTCTCGAGGCCTTCGTGCCATACTCTATCGAAAGCTTTCATAACATCTAGAAAAAACATTGAACCCTTTCGTGATATATTCGGTTAGTCTCAGAACCTAAAGTTCACATGAGTTCGGATCTAAATCCAAATTGTGCCTCCGTTATTGTTCTGATTCTTTTTTCAGTCTAGTTAGTATGATCCGCTCTACAATTTTGCTTATAGCTGATGGTTGATATAGCTTATTGGTCGATAGTTTTGTGGAAATGTGCCATTTTTGTCTGTTTTTTGGATCATTATTACGTAAGCTTCCTTCCATCTGTCAGAAAAGTATCTTAGTTTTAGAATGTTGTTGAATATATTTAATCTGTATACTATTGCTTTTGCTGGCAGATTTTTCAGAGCTCTGTAATGTTGTAAGGTCCTGGCGTTGCGTTGGTACTCTTTTCAGTTGTCTGACTTCTGCAGGGGAGGTGTGAGTAATACCTATGTTACCCTTACTTATTTTTAGATTCCTATATCTTCTTTCTACTTCTTCTGTGAAGTCTAAATCTTCATCAGGATTATAGTTCCTCAAAAATCCTCTTTCCAGCTTGTTTTTCATTATTTCTGCTTTGTCTGTTTTTGTGTATATTATTCCATTTTCCCCATGTGGGGGTGGAATAGGTTTTTTGTCTTTTCTTAGTATTTTTGATAGCTTCCAGAACGCGGATGGATTTGTTTGGGTCTAGCTGTTGGATTTAATTGTCCCAATTTTCGCTCCTGTATTCTTATTATTGTTTAGTGACTTACCTGTTCAGTTCGTTAGCAATTCTTATCTTCTTGGTTTCTCTCGACCTTTCACCAACCACAACTTAGCTAATTTAGCCTCGTAACATAAGTTTGAAGGAGCTGTAGCTAAACCACCATAGACAATGATGTCTGTTCGCTGAACGGGCTCTGGAGTAGTTGGAAACCGACCTTTATTTCATCGAAACATCATCTTCAGCGATGAGTGCCATTTTTGGATAAATGGGTACGTCAAAAAGCGGGATTGTCGAACTTGCGGCGATACGAATTCCGATAAGATCCAAAAGTCTCCAATGCATCCTGAAAAAGTCATTTTTAGAAGTGGATTTTGGGATTGCAGCGTCATTGGTCCATATTTCTTTGAGAACGACGTTGTCCAGGCAATCACCATCAACATAAAACATTATAGGCCATGATTACCTAATTCTTTTGGCCCGAATCTGGATGATATGGACACCAACAACATGAGGTTGTAACAGGATGGCGGGACGTGCCACACAGCACATATTAAATTGGACATTCTGAATGGGCGATTTCAGGGCATGGTTATTTCAAGTTTAGGATGATATGAACCTGCCACCGAGATCGTGTAATTTGAACAATGTTATATTCCATAATATTCCCTATATAATGACATTGAGATGCCTTGTAAACAAATAAAAAATATCAATATCGCACACACGCTGTTTTATTTAAATTTCAAGATTAAAATTCTAAATAATAATTTTGAAAATTCCTTTACTTCCAATTGGGTCGAGTCCGTCCCATATCGTTATCTCCGTCGGTCATGTTCGGCTGCCATGAGCTGCCGTCCGACCTCTCGTCTCGCTCGTTTGGAATGCAACGTTTACCCATTCCACACACTTCAAAATTTAACGTCAGTTTGAAACGTCCTTTCACAGATATTGTTACTGGATTTGTTGTACTGACCAAAACATGTGATTTTTCACATAAACGGTACAAAAAGACTTGTTATGAATGAATAATTCGCTGTAATGAAGTGGAGTTTTAGTTAAATGTAATGCGGTACTGGACTAGTGACCGATTATTGTTTATTTTCACTACAGGTGTTGTTTAGGTTTGAATTTGGTCTAAAATGGTGGATTTGTGTACCTGTGAAACAATTTTAAACTTTTAGAGTTAGTGTCCGTAGTGGGTTTTAGTGTTAGATTCGTAAATATGCACGAAAAAAATGGAAATAATAATCCTCCAAAACAAAAAACCGTGGCCATTGTGGCGCCAACAAGGTCCAACAGCTTGGATTATTTGAATTTTGAAGAAAAGCGTAGGTTAATAGCTTCTTCCTTGTCTTTGTCCGATTTCTTGGCTGTTGGAAATACAGATACCAAAGATTTGAAGGATGGTGTCACTACAGTTATTGTGGGTGAGTAAATTTCTGTTAATTTTAAAAAAATTGATAACCTAACCTCAATTTGATAATGTCAATGACATTAACTGAAAAGGGTAAACATAAATAAATGTGTACATAGCGGCATAGCGCCTTGTTGCGAATATGATAGTGAATCAAATTAAATATATTCGTCTAAGTTGTTTACTGGAGGGTAGTTTTATGTATTTAACAACTTTATGAGTAAAAACACTTGTTACAATATGAAATATAACGTAATACCTATAATAGGCACTTTAAAAAATATTTCCAATTTACATATTCTTTTCTGTTGTGTTTTTTGTATTTTATTGATAACAGCATTAATCACTTTGGGTTATTAGCTGTACTATAATTGCTACATCTAAACAGTAGTTTTGATTAATTATTAGGTTCACAATTAAGTACGAATCTACATTTTACAATTCGTAAATAGAGTTTACAAAATGTGTCGTTTAAAACAATATATCTGCGTATGCCATTTTGCCGTCGTTTATCTAAACTATTTAAAATACTAATCACTTGTATATAGTATAAGGTTGTTTCTACAACCTCTGCAATTCCTACCTGTACAATTTCTACCTGTTGTAGTATAAATGTGTCTGTAATTTTAAGGAGCTTTAATAAGATCAGATGGATGATAAAAGCTTTTTGATTGCATGAAATGGATTTAAATATAATTTTTACAATTATATTTTGTTGAAACAACAAAAAACAAAATTTGTTTAATTTACTATTTGTATTTTGAGAACGATTGCCGAAGTGGAAATTGAAACGTCAATAAACGTATTTTTATCTTTAATTGTGGCTTATTCCCAGTTAAATAATAATTATTTTACCTTATTTAATTCCTTATTTAATGATTATAATTTGCATTTTTTTCTAGATCCTATCCATTTTTTTCCTATTATTAATTGTCAACCAATCGCTTAATGTTATTTGTGGTCTGCAATGTATATTCTCTCTAGTTTAATCCTTACTGCTTTCTTACTTAATATGTTACTTTGATCCTACGGCCAACTGTGTGTTCTTTTTATTTTAGAATTTTCTGTTCAAAAGTATTTTCAATGTCAATGTCCATGCATGAAACTTGTCTTTACCTGAGGTAATAATTAGGCTGAAATTAACTTATTTATTTGAAGCTTTGCACAATTCTTTGATATTTTCTTTAATTTCTAACAATTCAATGGGCATTTAAACACAGATGTTTATTCTAAGCATATTCTAAATCTATGCTCCAGATAACTAAAAATAACTTGTTATCAGGGTCATTTAAATAAAGCATTAGTTTTATGTTAATAAACAGATACTATTTACCAAATTTTCTACTGACAGTATTTCCTGTTTTTATAGGGAAAATCTGCAACAAATTACTAATATGGATGTGTACGTAATGCATATAGATAGACTAAAATAATTAACAATTTTGTCCATTGTTAATTAAATCATACTTTTCATCTTCAATAATAACAACATGCAACAACAACATCTATTGTGATTCTTATTGAATTCTTAAATAAAATCTTCAATATACTGTTATGATTATTTATCTTGACTTTGATTTTACTTTATTGAGCCAATCAAAAAATATAACTTAATTGTTATCAAATGTAAAATACAACTCCTTATATTACCTGTGTTCGATGGATTCAAAGATTTTCTAGTCGTCCTTTATCGGGATAGAGAAGAAGGATAATAATAAACGAGAATAGTATATTACAAAAAATTAAGTATTCTTTATTTTATATGGAAAAGAATAAAACAATTATCAAATTCTGCCGTTATTTTATCAATCACCATAATTTAATGAAATTTTTATAAGATTTTAAATCTACATACATTTATATTAAGTGAAAACCAATTTTACTTAAAGTTTTGATTACTCTAACAAAACTCAGTTCTTTAAATTTGAATGATAATGATCATGATGTCAACACATATCCTTCACAGATACCAATTTCAATTGTACAAAATACTTACAGCTTTTTTCCTTATTGAATTGTATGTTGGAACATATCCAGAAAAGTCCAGTCTCCTCAACGATATGATCTCTCCTCTTTGGCACCTCGGCTCCTTCCTAACGTCTCTGCAAACCTCCTGCAGACTACCCAAAAACACCGGATTCACTTCTCCAAAATCTCAGCTACTTATTTATGACACAAGGACTCCTTTTGTCAACTTGATGCCGTAAAACTACTTTCACATGTACTTCACAAAATGCCCACGGTAGATACACGGACCTCTTTTAATCTACTTGTTATCTCCTTCCGCAAAACTATTCACTTCTTTTCATAATGCCGATATCCAAACTCACGAACCACACCCTATCTTTAAACAAACGACTGTTTCCTTCGATGGCCAAATTACAACTGCCTCGCTCCCGGTCTCCTAATCAGGCTAACCCCCATTCCCATTCAAAAACGACTATCCAATCAAAAAGCTCAAATCTTGTTTACTACTGTTAATGTTTATTCTTATTATTAATTATTCTTATTATTATTAATTAGACAGGGACGTGTCCTATCACCTTTGCTGTTCAATGTTTACTCTGAGGAGATATTTCAGAAAGCTTTGGAAGGCACCTCGGATGGTATAATTATAAACGGGCAATGTATAAATAACCTGCGATATGCTGATGACACTGTCATATTGGCAGATAATGCTGAAGCCCTGCAACGCTTAATGGACCGAGTAACGACAGCCTGTAGAGAATTTGAAGAAGACAAAAACGATGGTCATCAGCAAGCACCAAAACAGAAGGGTGAAGGTCAACGTCGACGGAACAGATCTGGAAAGAGTAACAAGAACAACGCACCTTGGAAGTAATCTTGATGAAACTTGGGACCACTCACTAGAGATAAGAATACGCCTGGAAAAGGCACGTACAATGTTTTACAAAATTCAAAAAGTTCTATGCAACCGCCAGCTGGGCATCTCATTGAGAACTAGAATACTTAAGTGCTATGTTTTCTTCACCTTGCTCTATGGTGTTGAAGCCTGGATAATGACAGAAGCAACACAAAAAAGAGTCCAAACAAGAGATCCTACATGAGCCATACGACAAATGCGGAAGTCTTGCGGAGGATGAATAAGGAAAGAGAGCTTATGCTTATAATAAAAGAACGTAAAACACAATATTTTGGTCACATCATAAGAAATCAAAAGTATGAACTGCTCCAACTTATAATCGAAGGCAAAGTCAATAGCAAAAGAGGACCAGGAAGAAGACGCAACTCTTGGCTTAAAAACCTACGGCAATGGACGAACATGATCTCCATAGAACTATTCAGGGCTGCTACAAATAAGATTAAATGGGCAAATGTAATGGCCAACGTCCTTAAGGATAAGGTACCGTTAGAAGAAGAAGAATAATGTTTATTCTAAAAATTCTGTGTATCATTTGGTAAAACAAAATTACTGTTTCAGAGAAAGAATAAATAAAATTGATTTTTTTTGTCCTCAGTCTGTTAATACACAATCTGTACCTGTTTCCAAAGATTAGATATGGTCATTTAATACACAAACAATGAAAAGATTAACTTACAGGTTAAATGTCTTCTAATTCTACACAAAAGGGGTTTTTCGATAATTTTGTTGGACACGGACAAAGTCGTTTGCCAAACAAATTTTTATTCTTATCTACACTAAATCTTATCTTAAATTACTACATACATTTATAATGATATCTTAAAATTTTATTCCGACGTACTTTTTTATTTATTTTTTTCTTTGGTTATGAAAGAAGAAGTATGACAATACTTATGTTGATTTTGATGTTTTCCAGGGTGAGTGAGTAGTTAAAAATATATTTGCCTGACCAAACATATATCTTGAAACATATCTTCTACTGTTCCATTTACCATTATTAAATAGAAAATATTAAAATGTCCTGTCACGATGTTTGTCCAGGCTAATGTTTAAAAACCACTGAACCGATTACAATAAAATTTTGTAAAAATGTATTTCTTGGCCCAACTTACGAGATAGGATATTTTTTATCTCGATGAATGACTCTTATTTTTTTTTAATTGTAAATTCAAAATGTTATACGACTTCACCTCTACAGTTTTACTTAGTTCATTTCATGATATTTTATAACTACATATAAAATATCATAGAACGTCATTTTGTGATTTATGTATTACTCTTTTTACAATAAATCGAGAAAGACTAAATCGATTTGGCTTATTTTGGTTTTGAAATAATTATTTGAAGGCCTAGGAGGTCTAGTTGGTTAGAAAATATCATGAAATTATAAAAAGAATAGTAGAAACAAAGGTTTTATTTTTCCATACAAAAGTTATATTATACCCTTATACAAAATGTTTATTAAAACTTTATTCGTTTCGCATGAACTCAAGAAAATATGATGAAATTGTAAGGAAAATAGGCAAAGCAGTTTTATTTTCCCATACATACTGTGACGTTTATATAGTTCTAATTTATTTGTCTTTATTCTAATTTATTGTCTATATTCTAATTTATTAAAACTCACGATAACTAATTACGAATTTATTAAAGTCTTTATTAATTCTAATTTATATTACAGATAATAATTTATGTTTCGTTACATTTAAATATCGCGGTTGCCGAGCTTCTTATGACTGACTGCCAAATAAAAATCTTTCATTTATATACACAACTGTTGTCATCCAGAGAATTCGGCGGACTTCTTGAATAATCTCGTATTTTGGTGAAGGCGCTCGACTCGTTTTTCAACCTCGAGACGTGGATGACTCATTAGTGTTAGTGTCTAGAGATTTCTGGTAAACAACTGGTAGCTAAGCTCAGGTATATTTTGACCTACAAATTACGAGAATCAATAAAAAGAATTAGTCATAAAATATTTACAGTTCTATACGCCATAACATTTAAAATCGTAACATTGCCACCCTCTTAAAAGATGGTTCCTCCTGGAACCTTGTCGGGACTGGAACTTGAACGACATGCTGATATCGGCAACTGGACCCTCTTTTACAACTTCCAGTTGTATAGAAATGACAAG